GGTACCCATCGGAGGCAGATCTCAGCCTTGGTTTGGTCGCTCCTGTAAGACTGCTTTACGCAGTAAACAGGAGTGTTATCAAGCCTGGGCTGCGGCTTCGGCGACTCGGGATGTAAACACCAGCATACTTAAAAAGAAGTATAACTTCGCCTCCAGGTCCTTCAAAAGAGTTATTGCCAAGGCAAAGTCAGAGCACATAGGCAGAATTGGCGAGAAACTAGTTCGCCTTCCTTCGGGAACCCGTGCATTCTGGTCTCTCGCCAAGGCTGTCCAAGGGAATTTCTGTAAGCCATCACTACCATCTCTGCACAGGGAGGACGACTCACTGGCCCATGACGCAAAAGAGAAGGCCGACCTTTTAGGCTCCCTTTTTGCGTCCAACTCGACTGTTGATGACTGGGGGAACACACCGCCGACCATCCCGCGGTGTGAGTGCTCCATGCCGGATGTGCGGTTCTCACAGCGCTCGGTTCGCAGAGCACTCCTCTCCCTTGACATCCACAAGTCGAGTGGGCCTGACGGAATCCCCCAATTGTGCTGAGGACGTGTGATCCGGAGTTGGCACCGGTTTTAACGCGTCTTTTCCGGTACTCCTACTCCCTAGGCGTAGTCCCGAAATCATGGAAGACAGCTTTTGTCCACCCGATCCCTAAAAAAGGCGACCGCTCAGACCCGTCCAACTACAGGCCTATCGCCATAACCCCCTTGTTCTCCAAAATAATGGAATCCGTTATAAACTGCCACCTCATGCGGTACCTTGAGGATCACCAGCTGATTAGTGACCACCAGTACGGTTTTCGTCGGGGTCGATCAGCTGGTGATCTTCTGGTCTACTTAACTCATAGATGGGCGGAGGCAGTAGAGTCCAAGGGGGAGGCATTGGCCGTTAGTTTGGACATTGCGAAGGCCTTCGATCGGGTTTGGCACAAAGCGCTTCTTTCGAAGCTCCCTTCCTATGGGCTTCCCGAGAAATTATGCAATTGGATCACCAGCTTTCTTGCAGATCGGAGCATCAAGGTCGTTGTAGACGGTGCATGCTCCGACTACAAGCCTATTAACGCTGGTGTTCCACAAGGCTGCGTGCCACCAACGCTGTTTCTTCTGCATATCAATGATATGTTGCAAGCCGGTAGCATTCATTGCTATGCAGATGACAGCACTGGTGATGCTCTATACACCGGCCGTGCCAATATTTCTCGGGAAAACGTCACCGAGTACCGGAACAAACTTGTGTCTGAAGTCGAGTCTTTGCTGGACAAAGTCTCGGATTGGGGGCGACTAAATCTAGTCCAGTTTAATCCTCAGAAGACACAAGTTTGCGCGTTTACCGCTAAAAAGAACCCCTTTGTCGTATCTCCTCAGTTTCAAGGTACTCCCCTTGTTGCCTCAGCCAGTATCGGAATCCTCGGCGTCAACATATCGAGTAACGTGCAGTTTCGTGGTCACTTGGAAGAGAAGGCCAAATTGGCCTCTAAAAAGCTTGGCGTGCTCAGTAGAGCGGGACAGTATTTCATGCCGGCTCAACGCCTGCAACTTTACAAGGCGCAGGTTCGGCCTCACATGGAATACTGTTCCCATCTCTGGGCTGGGGCTCCCCAGTGCCAGCTCCTTCCACTTGACCGCATCCAGCGCAGAGCGGCTCGAATCGTCGACGACCGAGTCCTTTCCGATCGGCTCGACTCATTGGCACTGCGAAGGGATGTTGCATCTCTTAGCATTTTCTTTCGCATTTACCATGGGGAGTGCTCTGAGGAATTGTTCGGATTAATCCCAGTCGCCAAATTTCACGAACGCACATCGCGGCAGAACTCCCGATACCATCCACACCATCTGGATGATTGGCGGTCCACCACTGTGCGATTTAGAAGATGTTTTCTCCCTCGCACAACTTCCTTGTGGAATAGTTTACCACCAGCGATTTTTCCGGACCGATACGACTTAGGGACCTTCAAGAAAAGAGCCTACTCCTTTTTAAAAGGCCGGCAACGCATCTGCAATTCCCCTGGTGTTGCGGTTGTTCATGGGCGGCGGTAGTCACTTACCATCAGGTGAGCCGCATGCTCGTTTGCCCCCTCTCCTATAGAAAAAAAAAATAAAAATAACTACAGCACATCTTCCCTCATTTAGAGCATTAAGAATTTCTAAGATGATGTCAAATACAGCGGATGTGGTGGAATGATTTTTTCGGAAACCATGGTGATATCTTTTAAAAATGTTGTATTTTTCAAAAAAATTATATATTGTACTACAAATTATTCTCTCAAAAATTTTCGAAATTACAGACAGTAATGCGATGGGACGATAATTAGACACATTAGTTCTATCACGTTTTTTAAAAACAGGTTTTATCACTGCTAAGTTTAGATTTTCCTGAAAAACGCCATCCTCATACGATTGATTTATAAGAAAAGTTAAGGGTTTTACAAACTCATCTACTCAATATATCAGTAAGGTAGCTGGGATTTCATCATATCCACAAGAGTTGTTTGTGTTTTTAAGTCGCATTATTGTTCTTTTTACATCATTCTCTGTAACACTACCCAGATATAGTGAATTTGATAAGGATACTCGAGATGGCTGTTTATTTAGAGAGCAGCAGTTTTTTGAATTTATAGTTATATAATAATTATTAAATAAGTTCGCAACTTTACTGGGAGATGTATTTAATCCGTCATTACGTAAACAAATGTTTTCATGTTTTACAATTTTAGATTTTTTAGTTTTGTCATTTTTTATAGGATAAGGGTGACAAACGAGCACACAGTCCACCTGATGGTAAGTGGTTGCTGCGGCCCATAGACACCTACATCTATCCTCTGTTACAAATCAAAATGTAGATGCGTTGTCACCCGTGAGGACTAAGATGGAATGCCTCATTTCCAGTAAAAAGGGCCTCCGGCCACTTGCACTCACCAAGCGAAACGCAGAGGTAAACCTCTACTTCACGCTAGTTTTCTGTGAGGTCGTGGTACCACCCCGGTTCGAGCCGGCCCATCCGTGCGACAGCAAAAGCTGCCGCGTGGCTCTACCACTGTTAAACATAGCCCACATAGTTTTATATTTATTACGTGACGTTTGCAGTCTTTTTATGTACGATTTTCTTTTTTCTGCGGCTATTTAATATTTTGCTGTAATTTTTTAAATAGGATATTAAGGCTTAATTATTGTGGTAGTTCGTAAGATAACGTAAAAAACGTTTGTTATGACAACATTTTTTAATGCCTTCTGTGGCCCATTTTGTCTTCACTTTATTTTGTCATTTATAAAATTTTCGTGGAATATGCTCATCTAAAATAGATGTGATTTGGTTCTGGAATTTATTATAGTTTGTATTTATATCACTCGTTCGGGTCATTTTGTTACTCCAATTAATTTAATTTAGTTTAATTCTGAAATTATTCATATTATTATAATTATCATATCAAAGTCGTTTGTTTATGTTATAAGTAATATTTTTTCTATTTATGTTCTCTTTTACTGGTATTTGTCCAATTAATGTGTGATGGTCATAGTTTTGTACAAAAGCCGTCATGTATTTTTAAAAATTATAAATTGGTCAATGCATGACTTACTGTTTTGGGTTTCACTTGTGGGGGTGTCTATAAGACAGCGTAACCCGAATGATTTTAAAAGATTGATAAGTCTACGAGATATTTTTGTGTCCTTTGTAATGTCAATATTTATATCATCCGCTACATTATACAAATATATAATAGAGATACAATAATCTAAAAACTCTGAATTATGTATTATGTATTAAGCTAACATTAAAAGTGACATAGAATATAACCTAAAAAGGTTCAAATATAAATATCTTTTTTTTGACGCCTTCTCAGGACAAAATTCTTTGACAGAGTTATTAAGGGACTGACGCTTAAAATTTTAAGATATTTTTGATCTATAGACGCTACCATTTCTTCTCAACTAATTTTATGTATGAAAATCTGCCATTGTTCTTTCCCCATACAAAACAATTGAACTACTATTAATCCGTTCCAACCCCCAAAATGTCACCTCAGTTATTTTTGTTACGTGGTTTTGAATAATAAAAACGTATTTATAAATGACAAATATTTATTGTACAAAAACAAAAAAGAGAATGTAAAGAAATAAATTAGATATCCTCACTGGTCTTTGCCTTTTTCGCTACATTTTACTCGCTTTCACATGTAGGCCGTTTAGAGAAAACATGTGCAAGGAGGTTTGTTTCTTCCTCCCTCTCAGAATGTTCCGGAAATGAGTTAGGCTAGTGTCATTAAAAAGATCTGATGCACGACCTGTTGCAACTTTTGGGTGTTTCTTTTCCACGAACTGTTAAACTCTTTCCCACATTCCTAAGATCTCCTTTATCTCACTTGTAGAAATAACCTCCTCCTCTGACTTCTCGAAACCAATTTCTTGCATAACCTCCGTATGCTGCTGTGACTGTAACTCTTGTATCTTCTCAGTCGTCAGTTCCTGGGTGTGCTCCTCTACGAGCTCGTTCACGTCTCTTTCTTCCACCTCTAGACCCATGGATTTTCCCAGAGACACAATCTCCTCCTCTACTGATTACACATACATACCGGGTTCCAATTCTTCGTAGATCCTTTCAGCTACAGTTTCAGGCCACAGCTTTTTCCATGCAGAGGTCAAGGTCCTCGTTGTAACACCCAGCCAGGCATGATCGATAATTTTTAGGCAAATCGCGTTATTAAAGTGGTCCTTCCTGAACTCTCGAAGGGTAAGGTTTGTGGTCTCCGTCACTTCAAAGCAGCGCCGAAACAGATGCTTGGTAGAAAGAAGCTTCTTAAAATTAGAAACCACCTGCTGATCCATGGGCTGCAGGATAGGAGTGGTGTTGGGTGGTAGGTAGAGAACCTTTATAAATTTGAACTCCTCGAGGATGTCATCTTCGAGGTTTGGTGGATGAGCAGGGGCATTGTCGAGAATGAGAAGGGATTACACGGGTAAGTTTTTTTCCTGTAGATATTTCTTAACAGAAGGGCCGAAAACCAGGTTTACCAACTCCACAAAGAACTGCTTTCCTGGTGACCCATGCCTTCGAGGTTCGACCTCCAGATAACTTGCAGTTTTTCTTTCAAAATCTTATGTGACTTGAATGCTCTGGGATTTTTCGAATGGTTTACGAGCAGAGGCTTGATCTTGCAGTCACCACTCGCATTGCCGCACAGTGCTAGAGTCAATCTGTCCTTCATAGGTTTGTGGCCTGGCATCATCTTCTCCTCTGCCGTTATATATGTTCTGCTCGGCATCTTTTTCCAGAACAGCCCTGTCTCATCAATCGGAAAGCGTTTTAATGTAATCCTCAGCTGCCTTCACATCTGAGCTTGCTGCCTCACCATGCCTGACAACAGAGTGAATACCGGTCCTCTTTTTTAAAATTCTCAAACCAGCCCCAGCTGGCTTTAGATGACTCTTCCGATGCCACGTCGATGGAAGTCTGCGGGGTTTGCTTCAGCAAATCTCCGTAGATCGCTCTTGCCTTCTCGCAAATGATGGTCTGCGTCAAGGTATCTCCTTGGAGCTGCTTCTCTGTTACCCACACCATCAGCAGTTTCTCCATATTTTCATGAAGGGAGGTTCGCAGCTTGGAAATTATCGTAAGCCGGCGTTACACTCTTTATCGACTCCTTCTGTTTAAGCACAGTACATATCATGGGCGTACTACGCCCATGCTGCCTCGACAAGTCAACAACTCGAACACCTTGCTCATGTTTTTCTATAATTTCACGTTATAATTCAATACTCATTATCTTTTTCTTAGCACTTGAGTTTTCACAAACTTTCTTCCGATCCATGGTTATAAAAATAAATTAACCACAACTGTAAATGTAAATGCAACACAAAACGCGAACACAACTACACAACTTATCACAGCGAAAGCACGCTGCTAACTGATTCACTGACCGTGATGGGCGCGTCCGCGTGGCGCGCGGTCTCGTGCTACCGACCCGCTAAACCGAAACTCGTATCTCGAAATTAGCTCGTAACTCAAAGCAAAAAATCACTCGCTCGCCGGCTCGTATTTCGAAAAACTCGTATGTTGGGGCACTCGTATGTCGAGGTACCACTGTATTTGTATTTCTGACAATTTCTTCTAGCTTTTCATTAGAAAAAAAGATCCCATGCTTCTAGCTCTGTTGTGATTTCACGAGCTGCAACTTTAGGTCCAGGAGTATGATGAAAAATATTTCTCTGTGGGATTCTAGACCTAGCTCGCTTTTCACCTGTCCACCTAAAATCGTTCTTACTCTTTAGAGATTTAGACACAGGCAGAACACGGAGTAAATTACGTGAAGCAAAATTAGACAGAGGTATGTCGTCTTCCGATGACGCATCATCATCTGTGTCATTCACATGTTCTGCGTTTAAGTCATCAATAACGCCATTTTCTTCAAGATCACTTTCATGGTCAGAAACAGCAACTTCAGATGCTTCTTCGTCATCTTATTGATATTCATACAACCACTGAGAAATTTGGTCATCCAATGTTTCGAATCTTTGATAAAACCGAAATAACGTAAAATTAAACAAATGTAATAAATTGTTAAAATAAAACATCAAAATTACGTGTTTATTTACGTATATCGCCAAAACTGAAATAATATTCCTATCATAATTTATCACACTAACATCAAACTGACCCTTTACAATATTGTTTGTAGTTTCTACAACAGTATTCATCAATATTTCGTGACTAACACAAACATTAAAAATTATACGTTATTACTATCCCGGGGTCTGAGAAACCCCAAAGCAGCGATGAATTCATCTACACTTGCTCAGCGTTAGCGCTGAACTGTCGATAAGATGGCAGTTTCATTCTTTTTTCCGGAATAAATTTGAACCTTGACTGTATATCCTGGATTAGTACACAATTTAAATAATTTAATGCCATATATGTGCCGCTTCAATTTTATGTACTATTAAAAAATTATTCGTCCTCGAAATAGCACCAAACATTCATCAATACAGAAATTTTCCTGAGGATAATAATGAGCAGCGAAGTTAAGATTCAAGCTATCAATCAAACTACGAATTATACGATTTTCGTTGTTGTCAGCATCATCCGTAGCAAAATCTCAAATCGGTTACGAGCTATAACTTTACGCGGAAAATATTGGGTAACCATAGGATTAGTTGACCAATAATCAGCTGGTTTTAGTAATTTCACGAGTCCCATCCATAAAATGAGGCCAAAAAATCTTTTGATTTCGTTCGTGTTTGTTTGTGTCCAGCTAAGTAACCGAGATTCTTTTTTCATTTGGTTATTTGATGTTAACTTTGTGATCGCTTGTTCAGCGTAACGGTTTGTTTCTGTAGCTATAGTTTCAAAAATTGTATCTGGAACTAACAAAGAATAAAAAGTTTCCGGCTTTGACTGAGCCATCAAACTTCTCAAATTACATATAAGGTTTCAAACCAGGGCACTCAGTAAAAGGTACAATTCGTCTTTGACTACGTGACGGTTCAGACCATAAATTAGATTTTTGATCTAACCTGCTGGTTTGTGGTCTCGTCTTCTTCACTTTCAATTATATATCTCCTCTTCTCTCTATTTGTACATAAATGAAAAACCTCTCCTTCTTCAACGCTTACTTCACAATCACTTTGAATCAAATCTAACGACTGACAATTACTTCGCGTTAATTCCCTCTCCAATTCATCGATATTAAAATAAAACAACGTATTCGCATTGACGAGTGGTACAGACTAAACTATAGATTAAAAACCATAGAACAAACAAACATTCTACCGACAATGCATGACAGATGGCAGCACTAGTAACATATTGTGTAGGTATTAGACCTTTAACACCCCCACTATATCTAACAATATGGATATACAAAAATATTACAATCTTTGAATACCTAATACATCCAAATACTTATAATGTTTCACAACACATAAAGCCTTCGTGAATACATCAGCTGGCATCTCAGCTGTAGGCAAATACTTTCATATTTACATTTTTATTTACTACACATTCTCTACAAAACTTAATGTCTGTGTTTTGTACGCTTGTGAAACATTGTATTCATAGTTAGCTTTCGTGCACTCTGATTGTCGTTGAACAAATCAATGGTATACAAATTTTGTGTAATTTCATATAGTAAGTTTCTCAAATAAACAGCTTCTTTACATGATTCTGTAATAGCCATATATTCGGCCTCACTACTAGACAAGGCTACAGTAGTTTGTTTTTTAGTTTCCCAAGAAATTACACAGCCAGATAAAGTGAAACAATATCCTGTATATGACTTCCTATCTATAACATTTGCACCCCAATTTGCATCTACATATCCTTCTAATATTGAATTTTTATCAGCAGTGTACTTCAAAACCGTAATTTTTAGTAAATTTTAAATATCTCAATAGACGCTTTACATATGCACAATGTTCTCTAGAATAGCAATTGTTAAATTGACTCGAAAATTCAACTGTATAAGTAATATCAGGTCTGGTTAGAACTGCCAAGTACATTAGACAACCAATAACTTGCTGATATGGGAATTTCAAAACATAGTTTTCCCCCTTAGATACATGCAACTTAGTTTCCATAGGAGTCTGAATGGGTAGGGTTTATTGATGTTAAATTTTTGTAACACCTGATCAATATAATCAGACTGGTTCAATGTGATACTTTTCACAGATTTATTAACATTTTCACATTGACACCAAGACACTTTCTGATTTTACCTAAATCTTTAAGTTTGAAAAAATAAAAAAATCATCCACAAAAAGTGTAACAATAGTCTTCAAATTATTTCTAATTTTTGTGTACTTCCATGGTTCTGTCTTAGATCTCCTATAACCGATATTTAACAAACATTCATCCACTTTCCTGTACTATGCTCTCGAAGATCGTTTAAGCCCGTAGATTGCCTTTTTTAATTTAAGTACTTGACCCTCATGGGTCTGCTCGGAAAATCCTTCGGGCAACTGCATAAAAATGCTTTCATTAAGAGCACCATTCAGGAAGGCTGTAGTCACATCAAGGTGCGTAATGTCAAATCCTAACTTAACTGACAATGCAAACAGTAACCTCAATGTAGTATGCCTCACAACAGGAGAAAATGTTTCTGTATAGTCTATACCTTCAATTTGTGAAAAACCTTTAGCAACTAAACGTGCACGGAACCGAACTTTGTTATCACTATCATATTTTTTACGAAGCACCCACTTACACTGTACAACCCAACCATCTTGTGGACTATCACATGATTCCCACGCATCATTTTCTTTGAAACACTAGTTCTCTTTGCATGGCCAACATCCACTGTTTCTTTTCTGGTGATACAGCTCAGAGCAGTTCGAATCGTCGGCGACCGAGCTCTTTCCGATCGGCTTGACTCACTGGGGCTGCGAAGAGATGTTGCATCTCTTTGCGTATTCTATCGTATCTACAATGGGGACTGCTCACAGGATTAGTTCAGACTAAATCCAGCCGTTTAACTTCACCATCGCAAATCGTGACAAAACTTGAGATACCACCCATACCATTGGAATAATTGGTGGTCCACCACTGTGCGATTAACAAGAAGTTTTCTTCCCCGCACAAGTTTCTTGTGAAATCGACTACCACCAATTTTTCCGGACCGATACGGCTTAGGGATCTTCAAGAAAAGAGCCTACTCATTTTTATAAGACAACTCATCTGTAATTCCCTAGGTTGCAGTTGTTCATGGGCGGCGTTAGTCACTTACCATCAGGTGAGCCGCATGTTCGTTTGCCTGCTCTCATATAAAAAAGACGTCTTGATATTTTACCCTGGCATGTATAAGATGGTATACCTCCATCATTTGGGAGCCTCAGTTTTATGCATAAAAACATAAAAATGTGTGTATGTATGACACTAGTTCTGTGTAGAATTCGAAACAGCGATTATTACATTAATATCATTATAACACGGTCCATTCTTTCCCTCCAAAAATGAATATGAGATACATTATTCTGCGTAATTGGCTAAAATACTTTATATCTAGTAACATTATTTTGTGTAATTATGTAAAATATTATAATTTTTCTATTTATCCCTAGGTTATCAGTTAGATAGAGAATGCCATAAGGCATAAACTCCGCCCATTGTAAACCGTTTATGGTTTCTTACAATAATTAAAATGTTTAATTCGTGTTTATTTCAGAACAATACATCACACAGACAAATAATTTTGTAGAACCGTCTGAGAAAATGATTAAATCAAATTCTACTGATTGTAACATAAACGATGTACGTAAAGAAAACCTTGATTTTGAAAGCCCCACTATTAAATCAAACCCTAAAGTGAAAAAAGATAATCAACCATATATGAAGATACATACCGGAGAAAAACCTTTTTCGTGTAATATCTGTGAATTTAGATGTATTTCAAAAGGTCGTTTGCAAATACATATGAAAATACATACCGGAGAAAAACCTTTTTCGTGTAATATCTGTGAATTTAGATGTAATACAAAAAGTAATTTGCAAAGGCATATGAAAATACACGCCGGAGAAAAACCTTTTGCGTGTCATATCTGTGAATTTAGATGTAATACAAAAAGTAATTTGCAAGCACATGTTAAAACACACACCGGAGAAAAACCTTTATCGTGTAATATCTGTGGAGGTAGATATATTAAAAAAAGTAACTTGCAAAGGCATATGAAAATACATACCGGAGAAAAACCTTTTTCTTGTCATATATGTGAATTTAGATGTATAAGAAAAGATCAGTTGCAGAATCATTTAAAAATACACACTCGAGAAAAACCTTTTTCGTGTAATATCTGTGAATACAAATGTATACTAAAAGCTGATTTGAGAACACATAAAAATACACATCAGTGAAAAACCTTTTTCGTGTCATATCTGTAAATTTAGATGTAATACAATAAGTTTGCAAAGCCATATGAAAATACACACTGGAGCAAAACCTTTTTCGGTAGCGATCTGGTAAAATATGTACAACATTATGTAAACGTATTTTATGTAATAAAATTGTTCGGGATAAAACTCTATTTTTTATGAATTTATAGAACGAGTAGAAAAAACTTTCCGTGCCATGTATATTATATAATTGATTATAATTGAAACTGCTTTTATTCTGAAAAAGCTAATTTAAAACAAAAAAAATTAACCTTAAAATATAAACCGAGGTAAGTGAAAATAGACCAAACCTTCATGTACATGCCTTTAATAGTCCATTGTTAAACATAGGCTTCCCGTGGATTGCCTCATAGGGCGAATAGTTGACATGCCGGTTGGTCGACAACCGTGATTTTTTTATTTTTAGTTGTCATTAGGAAGACGCTACTGCCTCGTTTGTTTCCCTCCATCGCCTCTTACGACGCCCACGGGATGATAATGACTTGATGATGATTGATTTACGTTTCGAACCAAATGTAAATAAATCTTTATATACAGTAAGGAATCCACATTTACGCAATAACTGAAACCACAAGTAATACTAAATTAAAAACCGTAAATTAAAAGGTTAAATTTTCAAACAAAATAAATATTAAAATATATTCAGTAAAAGTAAACACTCTGTTTAGACTACGTACCTTGACCGCTTGGAAGAGTGGCAACGTTGCACGCGGGCGGCATAGCGGTTGGCGGCAGGCAGCGTTATTGTCGGCACGGCCTTTGATTCGTTTGACAATGTGTGACGAAATAAAAACTTACTCACTAAACTATTTTTAGGTATTTTTACCACTTTTTTATTTCGCGATAATGGAACTGAACGCAATAAATATTATTGCATATTAGTTGCAAAATTTAATGGAACCCTAAATTTTAAAACTTTCAAAATGTCCGCCACGTTCTTGAATGCACAAGTTACATCGCCGCCTAATGTTGTCCTGAAGCCTGCTCAACAAAATGCGTTCAGGATCCAGAGCCGGGGCTTTTAACTTATCAAAGGCGGCAACAATACATTTGCGCCGTTCATCTTCGGTTTCGGAGATCTTTAAGTACCTACACTTCATTTTTAATAAAGCCCCATAAAAAGAAATCTATAGGAGTGAGGTCGGGCGACCGAGCTGGCACCTGAGAGGGCCATAGCGCCCTATCCATTGTTCGCCGAACATGGTGTTAAACCGCTCTCTCGCGAGGAGTACGGAGTGTGGAGTAGCTCCATATAACTGGAACCATACCTGCTGGTAAGCTGCCACAGACAATTCTTCTAAATATTCTGTTATTGGGCCGTTAAGAATATTGGGAAACTTCTGTGCATTCAGTTTTCCGTCAACAACAACAGGGGCGATTATTTGATCTCCGTGAATGCCTGCCCAAACATTAATGGAAAATCGGTATTGATGAGCTGTTTCTCTAAATAAATGGAGATTCGTATGGCTCCAGTGACGCATGGTTTGTCGGTTCCATATGCCGTTTCGAATAAACGTGCTTTCATATGTCCAAAACACATTTGATAGGAAACGTTGGTCTTGAGGCATTTTTTCCAGTACCCAGTGACAGTAAGACTCTAATCGACTTATCACGGGGCAGCAGCGCTTGCACCTTTTCATATATTTATAAGGACGTAGTTTGTTCCTGTTCAGCACTCGGTGTATTGTTCTATGCCTCACTGTAAACACACCAGCTTGTCACCCGTGAGGACTAAGTTGGAATGCCTCTTTTCCAGTAAAAAGGGTCTCCGGTTCTCTACAATCACCATACTAAAGACAGCAGCATGAAGCTGCTATTTTACGCTGGTATTCTGTGAGAGCGTGGTCATTCCCCGGTCAAGCCGACCCATTCGTGTTACAACTATACAGTAGTATAGTTATAACACGAATATATATATAATAAAATAATATAAAGAATAAGCTATATTACTAATATAGTATATTAGTAATATAGCTACAGCATGGCTCTACCACGTATATATTTATCTTACGAAAAATAAATCACTTGAAGCAATGCGCGCAAGCAGAAGAAACGCACACGCACTATCACAGAGTACATTTATCCAGGAAGATTCGCGGTGAACCGAAAGCGAAACTTCCAAATTTCAAAATGGCGAAAATAGTAAAAGTAATAAATAGGGCGGGTACAAGGTGCAATTATGGTTTATCGATAATTTTTTTTAAACTCACCTACTATAAGACATTTGAATACAAGTAATTTTGATTTTTAACAATTGACAAGTTATTGATTGTTAAAAAAAAACTACCGTTTTGTGACTTACTAGAAAACGCACAAGTATGACTTTTTAATTGGTTGTTTTTATGGTTTTTTTTTATTATGTCAAAATAATTTATTATCTCTAAATCTACAAGAACACACTTAAACAAAAAAAACTTTAAAGTTTAGATTTAAATACTTAGGTCATAGTGTTTTTAGATTTATCATAACAGCACGATAATTCTAAAACACCATGCCCTAAGTATTTAAAGCTAAATATATTTTTGTTTGTTTGTCGATCATTACTCCCTTTAAAAGAAGCTAATGGTCGATAACAGGTGTCCTACTCTACGACACAGGCGCGCGCGCACATGCAACGTCGCCTTTGAAGAACGCCGCGTGCTTCGTGCCGCTTGTTTATGGATGCCGCCAAAAGACACCGTCGATGACGTACATAGTCTCACGTCGTAATAGTTTGCACTGCGTGGCAACGTCGCTTTTTAATATTCAAGTTCATTGAATCATTGACCTAGTGACCCAAACGTATAGAGTTCAAATTTGCCCATAAAGAAGTCCAAGTATCATAGTCTTAGGTATACCTGCCGCCCTTAGTGAAAAAGAAGTCTTTGATTGCATTTATAAACAAAATTTACCGATAAGCTCCCGAATTTAACACGATAATCTTTTTTGTCCTCTATAAAGTTAATTCATGAATCAGGTAAAAGGAAGCACTTTCATGCACTTTTGGAAGTGCCTGCTGGCATCAGAAAGGCGCTTATTGACCAGGAGCGAGTCTTCATAAATTGTACGTCGTGCCCAATTCGAGACTTCACACTTGTGACCAGGTGCTTCAAATGTCAACAGTACGGACATTTGAAGCACCTGGTTGTGGTGAATTAGGACACTTGTCTAATGCTTGCATTAAGATTGTGTTTTAAAAACCCGAGCAATCCCAAAACATGAATGCCCGGCTAAGAAGACGGTTGAAACTAGGTACATTAATTCCATAGATCAACATTAATTCAACAGTGGTAGAGCCACGCGGCATCTTTTGCTGTCGCACTTATGGGCCGGCTCGAACCGGGGTAGTACCACGACCTCACAGAATACCAGCGTGAAGTAGAGGTTTACCTCTGCGTTTCGCTTGGTGAGTGCAGGTGGCCGGAGGCCCTTTTTACTGGAAATGAGGCATTCCATCTTAGTCCTCACGGGTGACAACGCATCTGCATTTTGATTTGTAATAGAGGATAGATGTAGATGTCTATGGGCCGCAGCAACCACTTACCATCAGGTGGACTGTGTGCTCGTTTGTCACCCTTATACTATAAAAAAAATAGATTATAAAGAGGGCGCCTAAGAGCGCCACCGTTCATTTTGCCCTAATTTATATTAAGTTTTAGTTTATATAATTTCTTTTTTATATTTTTATTTCTGTTAAGTAATTACTTATTAAGAAAAATAGTACGGATAAGTGGAGTATTGAAATCGATGCTGTTTGTTTATCACTGGCAAAAACATATGAAATTGGTATGTGCAAGGAATATCTCTTCAAGCCCGCAAACTCTCTTACAATTTTAACACAAAACATTCGTAGCATAAATAAAAACATGGATAATTTCTATATCCTCCTTCGAAGATTGGCTATCTAAAAGCCAAAACAACCCGCCATCACTGCCAGGATACAATATTTTTAGTAGTAAAACTGTATATAACCAAAATGACGGTGTAACTAGTCTTTGCGAAAAATTAATATATCATTCGAAGTACCTACTTGATATGCTAGATTGTAGTAGATTATTGGTGAAAGTGGGCCATGAAACTGCTATCCTTGCTGTTTACAGACCTTGCGGTTTTAAACAAATAGACAATTTTATCACGTCGTTAGACAATACACTTAGGCAGCTGTCGCCATTCATAAATTAGTGTCCGACCCAAACAGGATTTTCAACCGAAACTGAAAACGAACCTTCGGTCTGGGTGTCAGTTTCGGCCGAAACCGAAACCGAAACCGAACCTTATTTAGACATGTTCATTTTTTTATTGCATACTGAAATCTGGTATATTTTTACACATATACAGATAGGTAATGCATGTTAATCAAAAACAGAAATTGTAATAGTCATGTATATTGTTATGGTCCCCACTCACGGTCAGTTAAACTGTTCAGTTTAACTGATGTACATCCAAAAACTGACCGTGAATGTGAAATCTTAAGTTGAAATTTTTAACTGAAGGCAACACACCGATTTTATTCGGGCGTGCTGTCAGTTAAACTGCTCCGTTGAACTGACGTACATCCAAAAACTGATCGTGAATGTGAAATCTTAAGTTAAAATTTTTAACTGACGGCAATCCACGTATTTTTCCGGGCGCACCGTAATCCGCTGGCTTCAGTTCGTTTTCATTATTGGTAAGTACATACTTTCTTACTACTTTCTTAGTAGCTTTTATATATATTTTATAATTTTTTATAACATTCTTTATGATTTTATATTATTTTATATATTTTTTTCATTCAAAAAAAACGTTACCCCCACACTAGGATTTTCTCCTATATCGTGGAGGCAGTTTACAAACACAAATTGCACAAGGACAAACATCCAGACCCGGAACAATCATTTGTAGGCCATACAAATACTTGTTCCGTGCGGGATTCGAACCCGCGCCGCAATTCATTGCTAAGCCACTGCGCCACCGAGCCGTCATATATATTTAGAGAAGTT